GGGTACTAACTTTCCTAACAATTTAGCAACACCAACTATATCTTACTTTCTAAAAAGACTTTTTTCATGACAAGTTTAGGAACAGCTTCCAATTTAGAAAAAAGCCCATGCACTAACAGAAAATTGGGACTCTCTTCCTGTAGTCTTGCTTCCCAGTGTTTTGTTAAGCGGATTATTTAAATGAAATCCTAATATAATCAGTAATCTTAACACACTCATGAAGACGAAATGTAGGACACTCTAGGGTGAGTTCACTGTCAATGCAGAATTAGCTGCAAGCAGATATTCTCTTGTAGAATTTTACTGTTATACTTTTAAACATGGGAACCAAGCAAAGCAGCCAAAACCTTTAAAACGAATTTCTCAGTCCATAAAGAAACCCATAAAAAGATCACTAAATTCAATACCACCAAAATACTCGTATAGAAGGCTCTTCTACTTCTACCTCAGCGTTTTGTTCGGTCCCTCATGTAGTCACAATACTTACTGAGGGCCTGCTCTTTAGCCCACATTTAGTTTTTCAAAGGGCATTATCATAGGAGCACAAAGCCCGAGGAGAGACTGGAGACAGATGGTATCACTCTCACCAGACACGCAAAGCGGAAGCATGGAGACGCGAAGCGAACTTCCCAAAGGCAGAGAGGCCGGCCCGACGGCCCAGCAAACTCGGCCTCCACTGTGCATGCTGGGCACACACACCACCACCAACCTGAGTGCACGCGCTCTCTGCAGAAATTGGTGCCAAGCGCGATCTGCCCAAACCGTGAAGAGAGGAGAACCCGGGCCCCTCCAACCATTCAGGTTTTCGGTGCCCACTGCAGTGCATCCAGGGTTGCTCCCCGATGTGGGAAGGGAACAAAGATCGTAAGTTACGGGTATTAACAAGAGGCTTCCATATCTGAGAGTGAAACTATGTTTAATTTACACTTCTTTCTTAATATTTTTCCATAGCATCTTTTTTAACCATAACACCGTATTATTTTTACAAACAGGAAGAAGATCAAATTTTTTTCCATTTGCTTATTACATGGCAGGTGCTTAATTTGGAATAGGGAAGTTTAATAAAACAAAGATTCCTGTAACTACAGCAGAACTAGAAGAAGGAAAAACGAGGGAGAAGATCAAAACAAAGACAAATCAAATAGGAGGAGCTTTAAGCTTTCAAAAACATATACTGGGTCGAAAGGATGTAACTCATATTCGACCAAAATGAACAGAATTGAAAAGAGCAGCCGGCCCTGCCGCATGTCCATCCAAGGAGGCACGGCGCACAATAAAGTAGCACAAGCAGATCTCAAGGAGCCTCGTTCAGAGGCCCTGGGCTTTGGTGACACCCCCAGAGCGCCCCCAGAGTATGAACACGCGTTAGGGTGAGTCAGTGACAGGGGCCGAAGGGTCTGTGCTGGCCCCACCAGGCCAGTGCCTAGAAGGTACTACAGAGCAGCAGAGCAAACGCTCCGTTTCACAGAGCAGGTCTGTCCTTTCGGAGAGCCGGTGGCCACAAACCAGGATCGTATCTTCGAGAGCCAGACTGTGAGAGCCTGCGTGGCTCAGGCGGTCAAGCCACCGACTCTCGATTTCGGCTCAGGTCATGATCTCACTCACACTTGTGAGATGGAGCCCAGCGTGGGGCTCCACACTGGGCATGAAGCCCGCTTAAGATGCTTCCTTTCCCTCTCCCTCTGCCCCTCCCCAGCTTAAGCACACTCTCTCTCACACAGGAAAAGAATAAAGAAAAAAGAAAAAAGAAAAAAAAAAAAAAAAAAAAGAGCCAGACTTACGTACTCCATTTATTCCTTTAACATTTGCTTCAGGGTGGGAGCAGGGGGCAATAATCAACCTACAAGAACAAATTACTGACAATTCCAGAAGTCAGTTTCTTTATTTGTTAACATTTATCAACCTCTTTCCAACTTTGTACTAAAACACTCCTAGGCATCCTTCCAAAATCTCTTCAAGCCTTCTCCTCTCTGAAGCTTCTCCTAAAACCTCCTGTTCTCACCCTCCACCTCCAACAGAAGACTGTTGGAAGATCCTAATTCTAGAATTTTTCATCTTTACTAAAGAAATAAGAATATGGATGATGAAACACTCAAGCAGCAGAAAAGGTACATTCAATTCAGCTACTAAAACACCTCAAAGTAGAGTCTCATTAATACAACCTGCTCTGACTGAAGAACTGATTATTACTGTATCTGGATGTGACCACTCACATGAACAGTTTGCTAGAAAACCTAATGGCACAGCCAGTGTGAGGCACCACATTCCCCTGTTTCTTAACAGTAAATTCTCAAGGGCCGCAGAACAGTTCCTACATTAAAAAGAATGTATTCTGGGGGCGCCTGGGTGGCTCAGTCGGTTAAGCGTCCAACTTCGGCTCAGGTCACGATCTCACAGTTCGTGGGTTCGAGCCCCGCGTCGGGCTCTGTGCTGACAGCTCGGAGCCTGGAACCTGCTTCGGATTCTGTGTCTTCCCCACCCTCTGCCCCTCCCCTGCTCGTGCTCTGTCAAAAATAAATAAATGTTAAAAAAAAAAAATTTTTTTTTAAAGAATGTATTTTCAAATAGGGAATCAGAATTCCTCTCTCATGTGACCTATAGTTCTCCTTTTTGTGGTTTCCCTTTCTTTTAATGCTAAAGATTCCTGAGAAAATGCACCAAGAAAAGAGAAAAAGGAGATGACAGAGTGGTTAGCGACTCTGGAGCAGACAGCACTCACTGGAATTCCAATCGTAATGCTTACTAACTGAGGCTTACTTACTTGCTAAGCCTTGGTTTCCTCACATGTAAATAAAATAATTGGATAATAATGAAGATTAAATAAGTCAACGCATGCAAATCCCCCAATAACTTGTAACATTTATTATCCTCAGCATCGAAGACAGGTTAGCACGACGGTTAAGAGCATGAGTCCTACTGCCTGAGACCGAAGTCCCACTCTGCCGCTTCCTAGCTTTTCTGGCAAATTCCTTAACCACTTGTGGCCTAACGCCCACTGCATGGAGTTCTTGGGAGATCAAATGAGCAACACACTGAAAGCAATTAGAACGGCACCTGATACAAAATAAGCTCTCGATAAACATTAGTTATGATTATTATTAACTACAAACACCTAGAAAAGGGTTACTACACATCAGGTTGAAAAATTTTAAAGGTGACCAATGCTATCAGTAAGCAATTTATAGGAGGAATATCAATAACTAATAGAAAGTATTAAACAATGCTCAGCTTCATTGTTAACAAAATACAAACTTTAAATGACTTCACCTTTCACCTCATCTTTGGTAACAATGAAAAGAAAGATCATATTAAATGCCAGTGGAAGAATGGAAAAACAGGCACCCTCAAGATATAGTTGATGGAACTGTAAACTTGCAAATGTATGAAAGGTGATTTGATGTTACCTATCAAGAGTGTGAACGTTTATTATTAGATTCAGTAATTCCACCTATAGAGCTATATATCCAACAGAGGGACGTCTGGGTGACTCATGACTCCGTTGGTTCAACGTCTGACTCTTGATTTCAGCTCCGGTCATGATCTCAGCTGACCTGGGTTTCCGGGTTCAAGCCCTGCGCCAGACTGTGTACTGGCAGTGCGGAGTCTGCTTGGGATTCTCTCTCTCTGCCCCTCGCTGTCTCTCAAAAATAAACGTTTAAAAAAAAAAAAATGAACTATATCCAACAGAAGTGGACAGACACGTCGTAAAAGAAACTGGAAGCACCTCAAATGCCCGTCGATAGGACACTGGTTAAAGAAACCACTTTACATCAACACAGTAGAATACAGACATTGAAAGTTACTGGAGAACCATGTGTATGAAAATGAACACATATTCATCACATATTGTCAAGAATAAAGTCACGGAACAATATTTATAATATGATGCCATTTTATTTTTAAATATAAAACAAAATTACACACCTAATTATGTATTTCTCTCTGTGTGCTTAGAAAAATCTGAAAGGTGTTAGTAACTATGTTTGGCAAACGTAATGTGAATGCTATTTTTAAATGTATGTAATATGTCTGTACTACTTTTTTATTTTTGGTCTGCTGTTGTTTATTTAAGGAAAACATAAGAGCAAATACTAGTTAAAAGCAGATCACGAAGCTACTTTGGATTTGCATGTCCACCAGCAATGTGCCTTCTCTGTCTCAGTATCCCCATTTGTAAAATGAAAAGACCAACATACTAACAAGAAAAACTATAATCGCCATGTTCTAGGGCAGTAGTAAGCACTGAATGAGCTAACAAATGGAAAGTCTTAGAATGATGCATGGCACAGAGTAAGCAGTCTCTGAATCCCATTATTATTACTCTCCAGTGGCATCCTTAAAAGACGCTAGGGTTGGCCAAGCTATCCCTCAGAAGCCCAACAAATCCTAAGGTGGCCAACAAAATAACCAACACACAACTACGACAGCAAATGCGCTGGGTCTGCGCAGGCAATTAACAACACTTTATTTCCGTGTTAAGTTGCCTGGCAGCCAGAAGACCTAGTTTTCAGAGTCTGGCTCAGCTCCCCGTCGCGTTCTCAACTCCCTCATCTGTTCAAGGGAGTTTTATATCCCGAATCCGAACTACAACTCTATACTAAAATAAGGGCCCTCCAAGAGAAAAAAACTTCAACGGTCTCTTGGAACACACTGCAACCAAAGAGGATTTCGTCCGCATGAACATCATACAATGACATTTCCCACGAGCTTTTTATAACTCATATATTTTATCCATTTAAACGGCTTCTCCCCAACCCCATCCTATTATATGGCTTTGCCTCAATCCCACAATATATCTACATTAGTGAGGTTTGTCTCTATGTTCGCCAACACCCATAGTTTGATAACTACACGGAGAACAATCAGTTTTTTCCCACCTGCTAAAAGCCCTCAAATATATACTCCACAGGGAAAATGCCTCACACGTACACACACACACACACACACACACACACACACACACACACCATTAAAAAAAAAAAACCCCACAAAACACTTACACGGAATGCTGCGAGAATGATTCTTGTCACCTTCTCTTTGACAGATTCTTGAAGGATATCAGACAGGACAGGAATGATGTTGTAGCGCCGCAGGTGTTCACACATTTGGGGACTGAATGCCAGGAGCCATATTGAAAAAATCATTTGATACTGGAGTTGAAAGCCACACTTGTTACTCAAAACTCCCATTATGCTGAAAAGGAACACATATTAAGAAAACATTTACTACAACAGTGCAACAAGAGAGAAGAAGTAATTGCCTATTCTCTTTCTGCGCTAACGGAACAAGCCCTTCTGAATTATGTCGTTTTCTTTCCTGCCAGACATAACAAGCAAGTTAGGCGCCTACTTATAGACGGCCACTCCCAGCACGGCCTCACTTAAGTCTTCCCTAAGGTCACAAGATTTCCGGAGCACCAGACTGGTCAGTCAGTTGAGTGTCCAACTCTTTTTTTTTTTTTTTTTTTTTTTTTAAAGTAATGGCAGCTTAACATTTATTTATTTTTGGGACAGAGAGAGACAGAGCATGAACGGGGGAGGGGCAGAGAGAGGGAGACACAGAATTGGAAACAGGCTCCAGGCTCTGAGCCATCAGCCCAGAGCCCGACGCGGGGCTCGAACTCACGGACCGCGAGATCGTGACCTGGCTGATGTCGGACACTTAACCGACTGCGCCACCCAGGCGCCCCAGAGTGTCCAACTCTTGATTTCGGCTCAGGTAACAACCCCCGGGTTGTAGGATCATGCCCCACATCAGGCTCGTGCTGGGATTGGATCCTGCTTGGGATTTTCTCTCTCTCTCTCTCTCTCTCTCTCTCTCTCTCTCTCTCTCTGTTCCTCTCCCCTGCTTGCACACACTCACTCTCTCTAAAATTTAAAAAAAAAAAAAAAAAGTTTTTTTCTTAAGATTTCAGCATTCAGCAGCCCTTGCTGCTGGAAAGCAGTAAGAAATGAAACATAAATTTGCAATAATACAGCAGAGGAAATGGTAAGACCGACGGACAGACATTAAAGAAGTTAAAATCAAAAGGACTTGGTAACACCAATAGCTGTACATCTTGGTGAAGTCATAAGGTATACCAAGATTTTGAGTCTGTATAACCAAGAGGTTCGTTTTTAGCTTTAAAAATATTTAGGAGACTCATACAGAGAAAACAGGATGATTTTGGGAAAAAAAACTGTCGTGAGCCTGAATAGGACATAGCCAATTGGGGGTAAAACTTCAGAAGCTTCTTTTTTTTTCCTTAAGTTTATTTATTTTGAGAGTGGGGTGTGAATAGGGGAGGGGTGAAGAGAACGAGAATCCCAAGCAGGCTCCACACTGTCACCACAGAGCCCGATGAGGCGCTCAAATTCACAAACCGTGAGATCATGACCTGAGCCAAAATCAAGAGTCTGATAAGCTTAACCAACTGAGCCGTCCAGGTGCCCCAAACCTCAGAAGCTTCTAATTCAACCTCCCATTTTACTGATAAGGAAATTGGGAAAGCTATATGGAAATGAAAGAGATTACATCAAGGAAAACAACTAAGGAAATGTCCACAGGAAATGCCTACATTTAAACAAGAAAGAAGAGAAACTACCAGATTAGATCATTAAAAAATGACCAGAGGGGCTAAGGGGAACTCCTTAAGGGGTTAAGAGGAAAACCTACCGAACGCACAGCACAAAGACTGAACCATAGTGTAAACAGGGACCTTAGTTAATAAGAGTATATTAGTATCGGCTCGTCAACTGAAGGAAACGTACCATACTAACGTAAGACATTCTTAACAGTGAAAACTATGGGGCAGGTAGATACGAAAATTCTGCACTTTCAATTTTTCTGTAAACATAAAAGTGCTCCAAAAAGTCGATTAAAAGAAAGAAAGAAATGTTTAAAATCTGACTTCACGGGGCGCCTGGGTGGCGCAGCCGGTTAAGCGTCCGACTTCAGCCAGGTCACGATCTCGCGGTCCGGGAGTTCGAGCCCCGCGTCAGGCTCTGGGCTGATGGCTCAGAGCCTGGAGCCTGTTTCCGATTCTGTGTCTCCCTCTCTCTCTGACCCTCCCCCATTCATGCTCTGTCTCTCTCTGTCCCAAAAATAAATAAACGTTGAAAAAAAAAATTTTTTTAAATAAAAAATAAAAAAAATAAAATCTGACTTCACAATCTACAACCGCTAGCTTAGTGGAAGGCTTGTATTTGTGCCATTTTCGCACCTTTATGATTCCTTCCTATACAGTTGCAAATTCGCTGAACAGCCCTTCATTTTCTCACGCGTGATTTCTCCCTCACATCTTTTCTATTTTGAGTTGTTATTTAAGACTCGCTTTTGTTTAATGCTGATGTCAGTGGTATACATCACGTAAAATATCTTACGTAAAATAAAGTCATTTTATCCCATCAGTACCCCGGTACCCAGCTTCCTTTTGCCCTCTGATTATTCCACTGATGAAGAGAAGCCTTCTACACTTTGTTCCGTGACGCTGTGGCTGGAACCTGAAGCCACAGTTCTGCTTTGCCAGCTGGGTCTGCCAGCAAGAGCCGCTAGGGGCTGACCGCCAGGACAGAGGAAGAAGAGGCTTTGTCCTGTTGGCTCCCTGCTCCCGGGGGGGGGGGGGGCGGGCCACACTCCAGCTACATTTCTTCACCGGGGCAGCGGCAGCCGTTTTTTTCCGTGGCACCGGCTGAATTTTTCGCAACAGCGCTGGCCGCACAGCCTCACTGCACACCCTCAGCGATATCAACACCAGCCATTTAGGTCCCTGACCTATGAGGCCCTTCCTCTGAGCTCAGGGACATAAGCCCTGGTTTAAACTTCAGTTTACACAGACTCCTTGAAGCGTATGAATTTTAGTAATTCCAATCTCTTATCTGTTCCCCAACTTTAGGGGTTGCGTCTGTACCTTCCACTCTCTCTGACACTTGAGAGTTCTTTTATTTGTTTTCAGAAACCTAGTTAACAAGTTTGTAATTAACAAGTTCTTGATATTAAATTATCTCTAAAAAAAAAAAAATTGTAAGTGACCAGAGGGCTTAAAAACAGCTCGCATTGTCGCTGAAATAAAGACAGAAAGCTTTCAAAGGAAGGAGCAATCAACAATGATGAACGCTGCAGAGAAATTTCAGAGTTCAATATGTGTCTACACTGTATATATATTGTGTTGAAAAAGTAAGTCTTCTATATCCAAATAGTAACCACCAAAAGAACTCCAATGAAGCAATTAAAATAAAGTTCCTATTTACCAGAGTAAGGAAGGGTTTCCCTTAGGCGCAGGGAACCCTAACTCCAAAGACAATGGAGATCCAAGAGCATGCTAAGGGGACTCCAAGGACACAAAGGCCCAAAATAAACCTGAATACAATAATTTCACAAACATGTGTTGAAAATCTACGTGGCAGGTACAGTGCAAGGTGTGGGAGACATAATGGGGGGCAAAAACAGACCCTACCCATGCTTTCAAGGAGCTCAGAGTCCAGTGGGGAGGCAGGATTCCCAGAGTGGATTCAAGGGAAGGATTCTCCCTTGAGCAGAGACCTGAAGAACGGATAAGTACAAATCCCCATCTCTCAACTACCCCTCTCAAACCGAGGAGCTTAATATTATTTTTAAAGTCACTGAAAAAGTTACTCAATGATGCTATAGGATCCTAAACGCTACCCTGGTTTGCTATTTAATATTTTCCAACTAGATTATAATTTTTTTTTAAGAGACCACATACGTTTCTTTGTATTCCCTATAATATACAGCGCACCATTACGCAGAGAGTCCAAAAAATACAAATTACTGTCAAATCCAAAATAGAAGGCCAAGGTCCATGAGGCCAAAATTATTATTTAGTACCCTGTGTTTTTAATTAAGGCTTAAAAAACAAATCAAGCCAGTGCAGGGCTAGGGAGACCGAACAGCGGATTTACTGGCTGACTTGTGCACTTTTAGCTGGCTGATGCTCTTTACACCCACAAGCACCTCACACCTTATCACACAGTATCACCTAATAATATTCTGATGTTTAAAAATAAAAATCTTAGGGGCGCCTGGGTGGCTCAGTCGGTTAAGTGTCCGACTTCGGCTCAGGTCATGATCTCGCGGTCCGTGAGTTCGAGCCCCGCGTCAGGCTCTGTTCTGACTTCTCAGAGCCTGGAGCCTGTTTCAGATTCTGTGTCTCCCTCTCTCTCTGCCCCTCCCCTGCTCATGCTCTGTCTCTCTCTGTCTCAAAAATAAATAAACGTTAAAAAAAATTAAAAAAAAAAAGATAAAGGTGAAAAGATTAAATGACTTTTTTAGATTGCTATCCTATCAGCGAGTTAACATGTTATACCTTGATTAACGCCTGCTCTCAACCTAAAGGTATCTATTATTTTTGACTACTTTAAATCTAATTAGCAGTCATTAGTATGTCAAAATGGATATGCTGAACATAATGTGTCCCTGTGCTTGTTGCTAACTGAAACAGTTAATAATACTGCTTACTGTCCTCCGAAATACTGAAGTAATTACAATAGCCACATTTGGTTAACTTCGGTATTTGGGTTTATTTTCTGAGCAATTCTAACTATGTGTAGAAATTGCTGTTTCACGACTTTTATTCTGTTTTCCAGATCTTCCAGGGAGCAAAAAAAATCTATTTTGTATGTAACAGAATGAAATTCAATTTATTCTTCAAACACTATATAGGTCTATTGGATCCATTCATAAACCTAAGATGCGCTTACAGGATCTCAGTGCTTTTATGTTGCCCGTAATTTGAACAATTATAGTATTTTATTATCCTAAATATTATTGCATCATTATACATTCATTATTCCCAACTGTGCTTAAAAATAAAGACTAAAATATAAGAAAATCGGAGAATGATGCAATCACCTACAAAGATGATATAATAACGAAATAATTATCCTTCCTACTGCATTGCCCCGAATATTGCATCCTTCTTCCAACTTTATATGTCATCCTTGCACAGGGGACAAGCTGATCTTTGTGTCGCTCCTATGTTAGTATGTGTGCTGCTGAGGCGAGCACTGCATCGTTCGTAACGAAGGTAAAAAGGCTGGAAACACCGTCTCCGTCTCTGTAGTCTACCTTTAGGTTTCTGCACAATAAGAAAAGCAACATCGTAGTCCTGAAACTGCTATTCTTAGGAAAGTCCGCGTCCACAGTCAGCCTTCGGCTGGCTTCCAGAAACTTTAGTGGTAAACAACTTCCTACACTGATACAAAACTCTCCCTAAATGACAGAGATGGCTCACTGCACCTAAACAATATATTCTGGAGTCTGGAATTTTGCTGCGTGGTAGGCAGAGGGTGTCTGATAAACCTCCAATAAAAGCCATAGGCGCTTGGGGTGCCTGGGTGGCTCAGTCCGGTAAGTGTCCAACTTTGGCTCAGGTCATGATCTCGTGGTTTGTGGGCTGGAGCCCCGCGTCTATGTGCTGACAGCTCAGAGCCTGGTGCCTGCTTCGGATTCTGTGTCTCCCTCTCTCTCTGACCCCCCCCCCCCCCCCCCCCCCCCGCTCGCGCTGTTGTGTGTGCGCGCGCGCTCTCTCTCTCTCTCTCTCTCTCTCTCATAAACATTAAAAAAAAATTTGAAAACCACAGGTGTTTACTCTCTACAGGGATTCCTGGGCAGAAACGTCACACAAATGTTGCTACATTTTCACCACTGGGGAAAAAGTAGGCCGTGCGACCCCCCACTACTGCGGGGAGAGAACATACGGAAGCCTAACGTGGATTCCTCCAGACGCAGCCTGATCCACTGTGTCTCTAAAAATAAATCCCAGCCGTGAGAATGACTACATGCTGGGTCCCTTGAGTCCTTCCGCTGAGTCTCCTGACACTGTGTGAACACTGCAAATTCAAAGAATTCAGAACTTTTTATTTTCCATCCATAATGACAATTACCTGAGGAAGGTGTCTCGTAATGATTAGATGAATCAGAAGTTGAAAGCGGAGACAGACGGCATTCTATTAACAATGATGATAAAATTGGTCACATATGTGAAACCTCAAACTGTGAGTTTTCAGCTGACTGTATCATAAATGCATTTTCTCAAACTCAAGAGGCAATAAGTGAAAATATGTTTCTAAGGACAAAGAAAGGAAATAGGGTATTCTCACCTATTTAGCTGTTCAACGTGAAAGCCTCCAACGATATTTTGCAACAAGAGCCTGCACCATTCCATTTTGCTAAAAGGATATGTGATGGTTTTCTTTCATCTTTTATGATGTTGGTGCACCAAAACTCACTTACTACAAAAAGACTTACCCTGAAAAAATTCTTACAGAATTTCTAATGGTTGTTTTTCACTATTGCTTTATTCATGTCTGTCAATTATCCATAAAATGACCAAATACATATATTTTTGAAAATTGTCCACATGGCAAATTGTGATGACTGTTTTTCCTGACATACTGAAGGCTAAATAAGTATAAAAAGATTGAAATTTTACATGCTAACATAAGATTACTAATTTGTTAGGGCACCAGGTGGCTCAGGCAGTTAAGTGTCCCCCTCTTGATTTCCACTCAGGTCAGGATCCCACAGTTCGTGAGACTGAGTCCCGCATCGAACTCCATGCTGAGAATGGAGCCTGCTTGGGATTCTCTCTCTCTCTCTCTCTCTCTCTCTCTCTGCCCCTCCCACACTGTGCTCGGTCTCTCTCAAAATAAATAAACTTTTTTTAAAAAAGGATTATTAATTTATTGAATCGATGATAACTGAGTAGTTGATGACAATCCTAGGCAATTCATAAGGAAAGCCATTTGAGAAAGTCACCCAGCTAAGGAAGCGTCATGCAAACACCGGCTGGGAAGATCCCTCTGGCAGGTGCATGCCTACAGTGGAAATGGAGGCACCAGCCTAGGCGTGGGACAGTCCAGCAGCAGGAGATCAATCGGGTCCTCTTTCTCACCAGCGAACCTCTGCGGACAAACTAGCTTCCTGAAGCGTTTTCCAACAGATAAACAACATCTTCATCAACCCAAAAGAGCGTCTAATTGAAGAGCATGAGATCTCGGGGCGCCTGGGTGGCTGAGTCAGTTAAGCGTCCGACTTCAGCTCAGGTCATGATCTCACAGCTCATGAGGTTCAAGCCCCACCTCGGGATCTGTGTGGACAGCTCAGAGCTTAGCAGCTGCTTCAGATTCTGTGTCTCCCTCTCTCTCTGCCCCTCCCCTGCTCACACTCTGTCTCTCTGTCTCTCTCTCTCTCTCAAGAATAAATAAACGTTAAAGAAAAAAAAAAGAAAAGCATGAGATCGCCCATAATGAATAAATTGACTTTCTGGTAGTAAAAGAGCATTGTTTGTTTTGGTGTTGGGGGGAGTTCTCATATAAGTACATTTGCCAACCTGAGAGGGCAGCCCCTCAAGGTTTCTGAGCCTGCAAATTAGGACCCCACAGAGAATGGGCTAATTACACAGCATTACAAAGAATGGGTCACACTCATTTTTCTGGATAAGACCTTTTCTTGCTGATTTTTGCCTGCATTTACCACAAGATATTTTACAATTGTTTTTTTTTTTTTCTATTCTGAGTACCTAGAATTTGTTCTGTCAAGCATCAGGCTTTTAAGAGTCCTTAACCTCTTACAAACAGCACAGACCAAGTGAGGGAGAGGGGAAACATTTCGTTTAGGAGTTACGGACTTCCATGAAGGTTAGCATAATCCACTGTTAAACAGCCTTAAAACAAAAACAACAACCTCCCTTTAGATGATTCAGTGCATTAATTTCTTTGCAAATGTCAAGGAGGGAAGCTTTTAAATGTTACTCGACGCTAAAAGCAAAAGGGCACTCACCAGCTCACCCCGTCTGCTTCTACCCAGGCAAAGCGGTACTCATTGACCCGAAGCATCAGCTGCAGACACCCGGCGACACACTGCACGTACTGAGAACTCTGCACAAGCAGAAGGACAAGGTTTCAGGCTGAAGAGCACTTAAAGGCGTGGATCGTGCATACACGGAAAGTCTGCATTTTTTTTTTTAGCTACAGGTTCTTATCATCAGAACATCCAAAAGCCCCTAATATATCTTCAAAAACCAACGTTCGTTTTTGCTTTTCTCTCTACCTCCTAGAGATGAGGCTGTTTTTCTCTGCCAGGTTAAACCTACGTAGCTCAAGATTACTCAGCACACAGGGAAATCAAGGAAAAAAAGTAACCCTTTCCTTGTTATGGTTTGGTAAGTGTTATCTCGCAATGTCTCACTTAGCCCCGAACGGGGGCACCGTAGAGACAATACTGCTCTTCATAACCGTAGAAATGTCGAGTAAGATTAAAAAGATAAAACTCTACGCTTGGAGATGGGCCTGTACGTAATCGGACGTAACTCACTGAACCTTCCCAATACTCGATACCTTTGTCCTTAATGAGGATGACACCCCACACATCCCGAAGGAGTGTTGTTAGGACGAAGTTAAGTAACGCCTTTAGCGTAGAGCCAGGCATTGCACAGAAATGCAATAAATGGGGACTTGAAAAAAACAACCACCATACAGCACATAAGAAGTCGAAACATTTGAAAAAGGTGCTCTATCATTTTTAACAGCTATCAGTTCCACAGCACTGTTCCAGAAAAACTGAGGTTAAATCTGGAACTGGAAATGGACAGGAATAATACCCCCAGGAACAATGCAGGCACCTCCATTTTAGTAAAGCTAATAGCAACACTCGGCCTGGGTCCTGGTCCAAATATTTGCCATGAACCTCCCGCCCCCCCATCTAGAAGAACAGGGAGAGCAGAGGAAGTTGCACTCCAGCCTTAAAGAACATGCTAATAAAAGAAAAGAAAGTGGAGAGAATCACGGATGTTATAGAAATTCACAAAACCTAATATACACGCTGCTACTAGGCTCTGTGTTTTCAAACAAAGTTCGTTAAAACCTAACACTTCAAAGAAATTCCAGGCACTCGATCACAAAAACACAACGATATAAGTACATTTGGTGGAAGTATCAAAGGATATCAAGAAAACGTGATCTTAGATTTTAAAAGTAGTGAAGTTTCCCAAAAGCACGATATATCCATTAATGCAAGTTGCCTGAAAACTCAAAACATTAACAGAAATGACCAAAAAAAAAAAAAAAAAAAGTGAATTTTCAGTTCTAAAATAATCTTCCATAATGGGAAAAAAAGGTTATTTTTCCAATTTAGTCAGCAGGTAGTAATCCTTTTTGAAAGATGAATTCCATTTTTCTTGTTTAGAGGGATAGCCTAAGCAAGGTTTCCGCATATAATGAATAAAAATGCAACCTAGGGCACTCTCTCCTCTTCCATTTATCATCGACTTCCTCTCAACAAAAAAATTTCTTTTTTTTTTAATGTTTTTTTTGGTTTTTGGTTTTTGTTTTTTTTTTGAGAGAGAGAGAGAGAGAGAGAGAGAGAGAGAGAGAGAGAGAGACAGAGCATGAGTAGGGGAGGGTCAGAGAGAGGGAGACACAGAATCTGAAGCAGGCTCCGGGCTCTGAGCTGTCAGCACAGAGCCCGATGCGGGGCTTGAACTCACGGACCGTGACATCATGACCTGAGCCGAAGCTGGACGCTTAATCAGCTGAGCAATGTACTACTGTCCTCCATACGGTTCAATGTGAACACAACCTTGATCTTCCTGCTGTATATATTTTTCTTTCTGCTAGCATTTCCGATTCTATCAGGACATTAAAAAGTATTCTCAGGGCACCTGAGTGGCTCAGTAATTAAACATCTGACTCCTGATTCCAGCTCAGATCATGATCGATCTCATGGTTCGTGGGATCAAGTCCCACATCAGGCTCCATGTTAACAGTGCAGAACCTGCTTGGGATTCATTCTCTCCTCCCCCTCCTCTCTCTCTGCTCCTCCCTGCCTCTCAAAAGAAATAACTAAACTTAAAAATAAATAAATAAAAAGTATTCTTGAAAAAGCTGCAGTTGCTAATTAGAAAACCCTGAAATGTCAAAAGATTTCAAACAAAGACAAACTGAACAAGAAGCGAAAGGCAGAGAAACAGTCTATCTCGCAGGATGATATCACAAACCACCATCACAGACGCTGATGAAGCAGTGTTTGAGGCAATCAAAGATTGCTCCTTCCACACAGAAATGCCACAAGAGAGAATCAAATGAGGAAGAGATCTCCGTGCCGTCCCTTGGAGCAGTACCAGAGCCTCGCTTTTCCAGCTGACCTTTCCTGACCCCGTGCTTGGAACACCCAAGGGTAACAGGCACCATCACTATGTAAGCTGCTTCCAGGTACTAGGTACAGTGATAAACTAGACAAATAGTACAGAATCTCATTAATATTTGTGTATTAATATGACTTGTATCGACCTGAATTTTACATGAAATTCTTTGTACATATTTATGATTAAAAATTCAATCAATACAGAATAAGCATGAAAGAAAACATCCCTCTTCTCATCCCTCAGTACCATTCCTACGATGTAATCACTGTTAGTAGATATTCTGTGTAATACTGTAGAAAGTTTCTATGCATTATACGTTCTTTTTTGAAAAAAAAAATAAGATTACACTAGAACTTTCACTTATGTTTCTTTTTCCATTTAATCTTATACATAGAGATCTACTGCATTTTTAACCGTTTACATAAAGATTTTAACCCCCCTGTGCTCTCTCAACTTTGAAGAAGTATTCCCTAATTCAACAGCGTCTATTTGGTTGCTTATATTATCTGATAAGCAGAAGGGATTCCACTTTATTTTCACATGTATTTGTTCTTAGAATCCAACCAAAGACGAAGAAGCCCATTTGCCCTTGCAGTTGTAGAAAAACTGCTTGACAGCTACAACCTCAGATTGCCTGCACGGTCAGAAACTAGTAAGGGACATAAGGCCTCCATCTTTCTAAGGTCTCAACTATTCCCCAGAAAGACTCTACAGGTCTATAGTCAATATTCATCCAACAGGTATTTACTGAGTGCCTTCTATGTGCAAGACACTGTTCTTGCACTGGACACATGACCATGAACAAATAGACCACAATCCCTTCCATCAGGGAGTTTACAGTCCAATGCAGAAAGAGGAAAAGTACACACACACACACACACACACACACACACACACACACACACACACACAGTAAGTTACAGAGCGCACTGGAATCTGACAAATCCAATGCAACAAAAATACTGTTAAGAAAAGGAAACAGGAAATGCAGAGAAGGAGACATGGAAATTCTCATACTTTGTTGGTGGATCTGTACATTGACTTAACACTGACTGGCAACATCTACTAAACTTACATATACCTTACAACCCAGCAATTCCATTCTGTTACACAGGATCTCTGGAGGCACCCGATGCTGAGGAGACAAGTGACAGAAGCCCAGGAAAGTAAACAAGCAAGGCACGCAGCCATCGAGGGAGCAGTGTTGACGCTCTGGTAAGCACTGCTTACCAGGTCCGGTGCCACGCTGGCCTCCTTCCCATGGCTGCTCTGTGCCATGTGACTCCCCCTCTTAGTATGCTTCCATGGCTTCTTTCCCCTGCCAAGGAGAAGTTCTAAGGCCCTCTGTGATCCCTAAGGCCCTGAATGTCCTGGACCTGCCTCATCTCCCCACCTGCTCTCCCTCCCCTGCGATGTTCTCCACACGCTTCCCTCCGCTGGAGGTGCAGGCTTATCCCCTGCTTCCTCAGGAAGCCTGAGCAAACTGGCCCCAGATGAGACCACCCCCCCCCGCCCCCTCGTGGACCCATGCTCCTTTCCTACAAGCCTTGCCACAAGGGCACTAAAATAATCAAAGAGCCTAATTAACTTGTCTAATGCTGTCCTCCCTGAGTAAAATGAAGGCCTGTGAAGCCAGGAGTCCTGCCCATCCTGTTCAGTGCTACTCTTTCAGAACCATGCACTGAGGGGCCCCTGGGTGGCGCAGTCAGTTGAGCGTCCGACTTCAGCCAGGTCACGATCTCGCGGTCCGTGCGTTCAAGCCCCGCGTCGGGCTCTGGGCTGATGGCTCCGAGCCTGGAGCCTGTTTCCGATTCTGGGTCTCCCTCTCTCTCTGCCCCTCCCCCGTTCATGCTCTGTCTCTCTCTGTCCCAAAAATAAATAAACGTTGAAAAAAAAAAAAAAAAGAACCATGCACTGTACCTGTTGGCACTCAATACATGGTTCTTTGTTTTAACTTTATTTATTTTGAGAGAGAGAGAGAGAGAGAGAGCGAGCAAGCAGAAGGGAGAGGGAGAGAGCAAATCCCAAGCAGGCTCCACACTGTCAGCACAAAGCCTAACACGGGGCTCGAGCTCACAAACCTGAGCCGAAATCAAGAGTCAGATGCTTAACCGACTGAGCCACCCAGGTACCTCAATACCTATTTCCTGATTGAACGAACAAACGGGAAATACAAACAAACGTCCTATCTTACACAAATTCCAAATGAATGGGGCTCTAACAGAGATGGTTCAGTAACTGAAAGTTTGGCCAAAATCTTATGCTGATAACAATCAATACTGCAGAAATACATACAACATAACACTATTATTCTATTTCCTTTTGGAGCCAAAACTGAATCTGTTTGGTAGTGTGGATCTTATGAAATTGTCTAGTATTTTCTTTTGTCTCAATTTAAGAACTAATATGAATTGCTAGTCAATTCTGGCTGCACCTTATATCATCCTATTTTACTAGAAAATATTTATGATAAAAGCACTCACTTAGGCAGATAATAGTTGCCATTTAAATTGCTAAGGTAGGGGCGCCTGGGTGGCTTAGTCAGTTAAGCCAGGTCATTTTGGCTCAGGTCATGGTGTCACAGTTCATGGGATCGAGCCCCATGTCGGGTTTTGCTAGCCCTCCCCTGTACTGTCTCTCTTTCTTTCTCAAAATAAATAAGTAAACTTAAAACAAAAAACTATCAAAAAAGAAATTAAGAATTTTTAATAAAAACAATTTATTAACCCATGTATT